AATGAGGGCAGGGCTGGCGACTGATGACCAGCCCCTGACGTTGGGCTTTTCACCACAACAGAGCCAGGCAAACCATCCACTGATCTCGGCCTCACCTGCTCTGGGGCTTGTAGCCACCCGCACCGCAGCACCGGCCTAGCAAAACTGCTGCAGCCACTCCAGCGGATTAGGGGTGTGAAGGGTTAACCCATAAGCCTCATTCTAAACCAGTGAGGCTTCCTGGTTAAGGTTAACCGGTGGAGGTGGGAGCAGCTCCCTGTCTGCCTGCCACGGGCAGGGGGTGGCTCCAGACACAGGGGGCTTGCCGTGGACAGGGGCTGCTCTAGCCCAGCCAGTGCAGCCTCTGCCTGCGGTGGGGGGAGGGAGCGTGGCGGCTCCAGTTCAGCGGCAGGCAGGGGGGCTGCTCCAGTCACACTGGAGCCATCCTCTGCCCACCCTTCAGCTAACTGGCTAACTGATGAACGGGATTTTACATCCCTAGTGCGGATGGGCTGCACAAAGGCTAACCGGTGGCTTCCCCGGAGCAGCTCGAAGCTGAGGTGAGCAAGGCTCCGACGCAGCTAAAAACTCCAGTGCCGGAGAGTCCAAGTGTCCCGGGTGCCCCTGCAGGGGCATGGGATGAGCTCTGACCCCACAGAGTTGTATGCGGGGATGCAGTGCAACACCTCAGCTCCCCTCAACTCCAGCTGGTGGTTTGGTCCTTGGCAGTTCTGAAACCCAGGCCCCAAGATCACACAGAAGGCTACTCAAACCACTCCGGAGCCAGGCTAAGGGGCTAGGTTGATTCTCTGCAGACACAGCAGCGTGTCGCTCGCTCGCTCTTGCCGGGTGACAATGAAACAATTGAATGTGACAGCGCACGCTCTGCTGGGCCATCAGCTGTGCGCCTGGGGAGCCCTGCGAAGGAGGAGGTGAAATTGACTCTCTCTTCCAGCACCTAAGGAGCACACGATAATGTCCTTCTAATACATGCCCTGCCAGATCAGATGGCTGTTGCAAAGGGCAACGAAAACATAAAAATGAGCCCAATTAAATCGAATGGGTCGTGTGGCTGAATAAATAACAGAATGTTACTCAGATCTGGCAAGCGGGGGAGGGGGATGTCTTTTAATGTTTGAAACAAGCGAACAAAAAATTATTCTCCAAAGGAAATGAAAGCAATTGGTTCAAGCTTCTCTAACACCACGGCATGCTTCCCAAAGCACATCAGCGGGGGAGAGAGGGATAGCCAGGAACACTACCCACCGGCAGCTATCTGACACAGTGTTCTGGTCAGGGTACCGGACCTACAACAGCAGCGTCCTGTCCTCAGCTCTAGCCTGCTTGATGACATGGTGTAGCTACCGCCAGGAAGGACACTTCTGTTAGCAAAGACATGCCCAGTGCATCTCCAGAGAGAACGTGTGTGTCGGTGAGAGTAGCTATTTGGACACAGTGGACCAGAGACATCCCAGGGCTGGGGGGTGGGGTCTTTCCTAATGAAGTCAATTAGATCTATCTGGGCTACCGCTGACAATCAATGACATGCTGACAGGCGTTGCTGGACTCAGTCCTGCTTCTGAAGTCCACACCCCTCCCCGCTGCACTGACTCCTGGGAGTGAGGGGCAGAAAGAGACAAGCACGCACAGGCAGACTGGATGGACACAGATCCACTGGCCAATTCTACGTAATGGGGCTGAAGTTACATTGGGAGCCAGGAAGTTCTCACTGTCCCTCTTCTTCCCGGGAGTGAGGGGCAGAAAGAGACAAGCGCGCACAGGCAGACTGGATGGACACGGAGACCCACTAGCCAGGAAGTTCTCACTGTCCCTCTTCGAGCTGTACTGGTTGTCTGGAGAAGCATGAGCCTCTGCTCCCTAGGGGCAGCTAGTTTCACAAGCACTGAAGTTACTTAGTAATTCAAAACATTCTTCCAGCTACGGCCGTGTCCATTTCCCATCTGGAAAGGGCTTGACATGTTTTGAGAGCTAAACAAAGGAAATGACCCTCTTTCCCCCCCTTTGTTCTAGGAAATAACACAGCCTCCTTGTCTGGGGAGACAAGCCCACCTCCCTCCCTCCCTCCCAGAATGGGTTTCCCCCGGATCACGATCACACAACGGTGACTTATCAAGCAACACAGAGTGTATGGCCACCACCTGCTGCCTAATTAGGTGACCGCGTGTTATTTCATCAGGCTTGCAAGTCCCAGGGCTCCGATTGCAAGTTAGCGTTCCAGGCCGTGGTGCTAATGACGCTACGGAGTCTTTGTGCAGATCAGCACCGGAGCGAGGCTAGCGCAGAATTAAAATGAAGCAGTTCCCCGGTAGCGCTGCTTGATAAACAATGGCTGTCCCTTACCGATCTGCCCATTGTAGCATCCACCAACCAGGACGTGGGAGTCTTTGGGGTTGTACTCCAGGCTCACGAGCGGGGATGATGGCCTCAGAAGCTGCTCCGGTCTGTTGGGACTTTCTACCAGGAAGGGACAAAAGAGAGGAAAAGCAAAGTCTAAGTGAAGCCCAGCAGGAAAACAACACCTGCAACTAACTCAGCTCAGGAATGCTGCAGGCTAGCCAGTGACCACCGGAACCCACGTCTCCCCAGAGGTCTCATCAACAGAACACAGTGCTAGCTAGAGGAAGGGCAGAAACTGTTCCTACAAGGTACTAATCCGGAGGAAGAGCGAGCACCTAAAACCACTTTGCAAGCAATGTACAGGCGGAGGGAGAGAGTGGAAATGACTTGCCCATGGTATCTCAACAGCCAGGAAGAGAACCCAGGAGTCCTGACTCCCAGCCCTGCGCCTGAAACAGACGAGCAATCCACCTTCCCCCGGTATTAGCCAGGCCAGGTCTTGGCGCAGAAAGAGGAGTGCTGCATTGAGTGCTCGCTTTCTGCCTCCATTCTCCACCGCTCCTTTCCCAGTTACCACCCATTCTGAAGGGGGAACCAACACGGAGGAGCCCCAAGTAGCTGGGAAGTGCTCCTTTCCCAGTTACACCCATTCTGAAGGGGGAACCAACAGAGGGGGCCATCACGGAGGAGCCCCAAGTAGCTGGGAAGGCAAGTCACTAGACAGCCAGCTGGGATGAGAAGTAAGGTATCTAGCTCCCTTGTCAGGTTGTGGTCAGAGCCTCAAAGCTCCCTGTGGCAGCGAAAGGTTCGTTCACTTTGGGTGGGCAAGGGTGGAGGCCTCACCCCTTTCTGCTCCCACCCCTTTCGCTTGTCAGTCCTAAAAGGGACTCCCCAGGGAAGTGCCTCAGCAACACAAGGTGTTTCCGAACATGGGTCTTGTGCTGCTTTTTGCTTTTTAACAGATTGGGCAAATGGGCAGAGAGTGGGGCTTTCCAGGCTGGTTTCCACACTTTGATCAGGTTTCAGATACCAAACACCCCTCTTCTCATTCCTCCGTGTCCGTCTGTGAAACAGGAGGCGCCTCCCCTTTCTGCTCTCCCAAGGGTGAGCTGCGAGTTAGCTAGTCTCCACCTGCAGAGCACTTCCCAGACATTAAGGGCCATCTCAGTGGCAAGTGTTCCTAACGGTAGCATTTTTGCCTCTTACCGAGATCCCATATGTATGAATCGTAGCTCATTTCTTTAGAGCTTCGCTGGAACTCCAGGCTGGAATAAGCTACTGCCAGCTTCTTGCTAGCATCGGGATGCCAGGAGAGATGCGTGGCTGTCCTTTTGATGACATTGGGATCTCTGTTTGATAATAAGACGTCAAACAATAGCGTTAACTTGCTAACAAAATTGCCACACTCCAGACTATCAACAGGTTCCCAAGGGAAGAGGTGGGAACTTCAATTAAAACAGGTTAAACCCCTTGATGGCACTGATTGTAGGAACCAATCCTGCACTGAATTAGGAAAGGAGGACCTAGATGAGCTGATTAGTCTTTCCAGTTTGAATGTGTAGCAGTCCGGGTACATGCCAGGAGCTAACTTTGAAAAGTTAATAAGCAGGCCCCAACACTAAACAAACGGAAGGAAATTCCTGTGAAATTCGCCCGGTACAAAAGATACTGAACCTGGGATACTCACTGAAGTGCACTAACTAAAAAGAGCCCCACAATATCGCAAGCCCATTAGATCCTCCCCAGATGTACATTATTTGACCGGGTTTTGAAGGACATGTGAAATCAGAGGTGGGCAACCTGTGGCCCCCGGCCCCCCCCCCCCATCTGCTCCCTTCCCCCATGCGCTTCTCACGCACTGGGCACCAGGAGCCCCACGTAACCTACTCCTTCCCCTCCCTCCCAGCACTTTCAGAGTGTCACAAATCGCCTGACTCACCCTCCGACTCTGCTCCCCCCTCGGCACTCTGAAAGTGCTGGGCGGGAAGGGAAGCAGTAGGAAGTGCAGGGCTCTGGTGCCCCAGTGAACAAGAGGGGGGCAGACGGGGGCCCACGCGGCTGCAAGCGGAACCCCAGTGAACTGCAGGCTGCTGCCGCCCACTGAGATGAAGGAGGGTCACTCATGCGGCCTGCTCACTATTCTTGGTTGCCCATCGCTGTGTTAAATACTCCTCAGCGCAGGGTGTAGGAAAAACTGCCTGCTTTTGGGGATCGAACAATCTGAAAAGTGGGGGAGGTGAGGGATTAACCTCTTGTAGTAACTGCCCTCCGCCCGAAAAATTACTTGGAAATACCCAAAGGAGCATCTATATTTATATATTACTCTCCAAGGATTATTTTTCTGAGCCAGAGATGACATTCATAGAATCCTAGAACTGGAAGAGACCTCGTGAGGTCATCAAGTCCAGTCCCCTGCCCTCATGGCAGGACCATGCACCATCTAGATCGTCCCTGATAGATGTCTATCTTACCTGCTCTTAAATATTTCCAGGGATGGAGATTCCACAACCTCCCTAGGCAATGTATTCCAGGGTTTAACCACCCTGTCAGTTAGGAAGTTTTTCCTAAACCTCTCCTGCCACAATTTAAGCCCATAGCTTCTTGTCCTAAATTGCCAGGGTTGGTCTGAGTGCAGAGAGAGATTGACTCCACCAGAGAAAGCCTGCCATTCAAACCACTAGGATGTCCTGCAGTTAATTCTGGCCGAGCTGGGTGGTTGCTAGGATCTGCTGTGTTTGCTGCTTCAATTATGCCTGCTCCTGTCAGCAGATGCAGCTTAACTGAAGCAGCTGCCTGAGCTGGCCCAATGGTCAATATGAACTAGAAAAGAACAGGGAATGTTCAACTCTAGGCAGCGCCTCCGGGCTGCCAGTACCTGAAGACAGTAATGGTTTTTGCAGATGGAGGCTCATCTGCTATGTCCGCCGTCTCTTCGTCTTCAAAGTACTCCTCGTAGATATCGATCGCGTTGTTCTGTTTGATGCAATGCTCCATCAGCTGTGAAGCAAGCCATGCAAATAAGCTATGAGGTGACATTTGGGAAAGGGACTGGTTTTAGCGAGCAGGCAGCGAGCAGAGCATGACGGGAAAGGGAGCTGTACCACCACCAAGTAGGCAGAAAGGCAGAGGAAAGGATGGGACAGTGGCCTTACACTGCCGAGCTGCATGATGGTGTTGATGTAGTTCTCATCTTTCTCCACTTTCTTCCGGAATCGGATGGTCTGCTCCATCTCCAGCGGGTTGACGTCTTTTGGCCACCCACCTTCCAAATGGTTAACGCCCTCATTTTCCATCTCAAATCTCTCTGTGTTGACCTGGAGTGTTGCACAAAGCGAAAGATACAAAGCTGATGGGCTGGGTTTAGATGGTTGCTCCATAAGCTGATGGAGATGGGGAGGAGTCTAGCACTTAATCCTTCCCTGATCCCAGATCCTGCTAGCATTCATACTACCAGTCAAGATTTTCCTAGCTTTATCGGCGCTGCAAACGCCATCTGGGTCCTTGCATCTCAGCTTTCTCTTCTCTAGCTCTTAGCCATTGCCAGGAATGAAGATCCAGCAGTCAGAACAGAACAGTGTTCATTTGCTGATGCACAAACTTGACCCCCCTCATACGTCTCCCTGGCTACATTGCTTCTGCAGAGCTAAGGGGAGGAAATGCTAGTTTTTGTCAGTGCCATCAGCAGACGTGACTTGAACACACACTCATGCCCATGGTGAGAAGCTGCTAGCTTGACAATCACTTCTCTGGCCACAGACAAGTCTTGAACTCGCAGTCCCTGCTGTGCCTAACAATGGAATGATGGATAATCACTTCACCAAACCTCTGAGCACTCTCACTCACCTTCCAGCAACCGGAGTGCAGGAGGGATCATGTAGTATTACATCCTATACCTTCCTGAGCAATCCCGTAATGTATATCCCAATTACAAGGAAGGCACAGAGCTCTTCTGGAAATATTAACACAGGGAACTCTGCAGAGTTGTTATTTTCTATTACTCCCCACACAGGAAGAGGGGTGGGGGGTTCCAACAATGTGATTGCAAACAGGAACCAGCACTGGCAAGAAGAATTATTGGCTATTTCGCCACCGTTTAAAACTCAAAGTAGCTTCTCATAGCTCATCCAAGCGGAGCAGATTGGCTTAGCAAAGGATCAGTCCAATTCTGGGAGCTCTTAAGGAATCATTCATTAATTGCTTTATTTACCGTCACTGACTGCAGGAAGTGAGAATCCTCCAACCTCCCCTTTTTTAATGGAATTCCAGATTTGCAACCCCATCGCCTCCTTCCTGCTCTGGCAGTGGCTCTCCCCTGAGCATCTCAAGCCGTGCTACAAACAGCCATGGAGCCTCCCAACTGGCTTTCCATAAGGTAGCTAAGATAAAATCCACTTTATATCTGAGCAGCTCTGTCTCTCGAGCTGCCAGGGTCCCACAGTGAACAGGACCCTCTCTCCTGTTTTAAGCACTTGACAAACTCAAAGCTCTTAACTGGCCTGCGGCAGCCAGCAATGAAAACATTGTCACCATTTTGTGAATTTTTGGGATGGGCAAGAACCCTGAGATAATATCACTGACAACTGCTCAGAATACAGCACCACCATGGTATTTCTTCCAGAGAAGATCTTGATTCCCTATATCCTGCTCCCGCGAAGGAGGTCCCAGAAGAGCTGCAATTTATTACTGACTCCCACTCTACCTCATGCTCTGACATGTCACTGGCACACTGTATTCCAGTATCAATGGGGTTCCTCTCTATGAAGTTTGTGGCTTGGCTGGGGTCCGGATGGATGTCCACGTTGATTTCGACTGGCCGGTCGGAGAAGTTGCATTGTCGGCCAAACTCGCTGCGCTTCTTCACGTACACGTAGACGATCTCCATGGCACCTGCTGGGGTGAGGGAGAAGGACACATTGCGCCTTTGCATGCTTCAAACTCACCCTTTCACTGCTGCACGACACAGCGGATGCTTCCCGAGGGACACGGAAAGACGTGATCCCTCCCTACCCACAGGGATGACGCTCTGGGTTTAGAAATGATGAGTTTAAATTTGGGAACTAACCTGGATTGGATGATCTAGTGCAGGGCTACTCAATGATACAGCACACGCCGAGGGCCGCAACTTAAGTCTGGTTGCATATACATGCAAATAGCTTCTTTCACACTGAGGGGCATGAATACAAAGATTAAGGCGAGATGATACAACGCGCAGGCCCCATTTAAGTCAGTTCTGCTGACTTTAGTAAAACGCAATATTTACCCAATTTCCACCCATATGACAGCACTTGTAGGGTGCGGTTAGACTACAAGGCTGTGTCTGGACTGGCCAGTTTTTCTGGAAAAATAGCTGCTTTTCCAGAAATCTTGCCAGCTGTCTACACTGGCTGCTTGAATTTCCGCAAAAGCACTTGACTTCCTACTGTAAGAAATCAGTGCTTCTTGCGGAAATACGATGCTGCTCCCGTTCGGGCAAAAGACCTTTTGCACAAAGCTTTTGCGCAAAAGGGCCAGTGTAGACAGCTCAGATTTGTTTTCCGCAAAAAAGCCCTGATGGCGAACATGGCGATCGGGGCTTTTTTGCGCAAAACCGCGTCGTGATTGGCCACGGACGCTTTTCTGCAAGAGGTGCTTTTGCGGAAAAGCGTCCGTGCCAATCTAGACGTGCTTTTCCGCAAATGCTTTAAACGGAAAACTTTTCCGTTAAAAGCATTTGCGGAAAATCATGCCCGTCTGGACGTAGCCCGAGAGTTTTTCCGGGATGTATCCCGGAAAAACTCTTCTGCGTCCAGGGACGTGTTTGCGCTTCCGTTTTTCGCTCTGTCGGAAGCCGCGTGCCTTGCTCTCCGAGGGGTGAGGGGGCTTTGAAAGAGCCCCCCCCCCACACCTT